CAGAAAGCGAGAAATCACCCCCCAGGGGGGATGGTCACGCCGCAATCCCTTCTCCTCCATTCTCCTCTCGGGATCTTGGGCACGCACGCACTCGCCCCCGGCGTGAGTTTTAAGCCACCGGGTCCGGGACACGAACCGCGGTCGACTACGTGGGAATCCAGTGACATAGCCATTACACTAACTGCTGGTTCCCTTATTCTCTTATTTCTATCTGTCTTTAGTTTTCCTAGTATAGCACTCCCTTCAGAACTTCTTGAAGAGTTGGTCTGGTGTTAAATTCTTTCAGGTTTTGTTTATCTGAGAATGTTCTTGTCTTTTCTTCCCATATGAGAGAGAGTCTTGCTGGATATAATATTCTTGGTTGAAATTGTTTTTCACTTAATACTTATAATGTATTTCCCCATTCTTTCCTTGCTTGCATTGTTTCCGACGAGAGGTCTAAGGTTAGCCTGATGGGATATCCTTTGAAAGTAACTTGATGTTTCTCTCTTGCCAATTTTAGTATCTTGATTCTGTCTGTGGTTTTGGTCAACCTGGCTGTGATGTGTCTTGAAGAAGATCATCTTGGGTTGAATCTATGTGGGGTCCTTTGTATTTCTTGGGTCTAGATCTTTGAATGCCTTTCTAGGTTTGGAAAGTTTTCTTCCAGGATTTCATGGACTAGATTATCAATGTCCTTATTAGTTTCTTCACCTTCTGGAATACCGATGATCCGTATGTTTCGGTGTTTAATGATATCTAGTATTACTTGTATGTATTCTCATTTGGGGGGGGGTTATTTTCTCAGTCTTTTGGGTGAACTTTTTAGGTTAGAGGTTCTATTTTCTACATCTGAGATTCAATCTTCTGCATGATCTTATCTGCTTTGTGTATTTTCAAGGTAGGTTTTGATTTCCAGTAATACAGCCTTCATCTCTACCAGTTCCTTTTGATTCTTTTTCATGATGTGTATCTCCTCTTTCAGATTGTGCAGGAACTTCCTCACCTCCTGGAACTCGGTGTCTCTTTTCTCCTGCACCTTCTGGAGTTTGTTGTCTCTCTTCTCTTGCATCTCTGTTAGCTTTGTCACTATGAATGTTTAACATTTCTTATCTAACATTTCTATGAGTTCCCTTGTATTCTCTGTGGAAGAAGAGGAGTTATTTTTTTCCCTTGGAGGAGAGATATTTTCTTGGCTTCTCATATTTCTTGTGCCTCTATGGTGTCTTCTAGTTATCTGATGGATTATACGCGTTTTCCTAGTTTTTGGAGTTAAATCTGCGCTTTTTTTTTTAAAGTATTCTCTTTTTTAAAATTATTTAACTTTATTTATTATTTATTCATTTGTTTATTTAAATTTGACCAGAGAGAGACAGAGTGAAAGAGAGAGAGAGAGAGAGAGAGCGAAAGTGAGAAAGCAAACTGCCAGGTCCAGGACTTGAACCACGGTTGACCATGTGGGAATCCAGCGCCTTTAACCACCATGCCACCCGCCGGCCCCCAAATCTGCACTTTCAGAGGAATGCAGGAGGAGGTGACGTGAAGTCTCTAAACAGTACTATTTTTTTTCCCTTTGCACAACTGATTCAAGCGAATTGAGAATTAATCTGACCCTAGGGACCAGCAGTTGGCGTAGTGGTTATGTTGCCAGACTCCCATGTAGTTGACCGTGGTTTGACCTATAGCAAAAACCTCTCAAAAAAAAAAGAATTAATCTGACCCTAGGGACCAGCAGTTGGCGTAGTGGTTATGTTGCCAGACTCCCATGTAGTTGACCGTGGTTTGACCTATAGCAAAAACCTCTCAAAAAAAAAAGAATTAATCTGACCCTAAAGTATTCAGATATTTGGCTACTGAGCACCTTGACCATGTGGAAGCTGAACAGAAAAGTGAGAAAGGGAAAAAGAAAAGGAAAGGGAAAAAAAAGAAAACCAAAAAGGAGGGGGGAAAAAAGACAAAAACAAAAAAAGAAAAGAAAAAAATTTTTGACTAAAAAATGAAAACCATGCAGCACACGTGGCGCGAATGGAGCCACACAGAACTCCAATGTCGATGACCGCTGATTGGCTTCTCCTATGGGGGCGGGGGAAGGTAAGAATTAGAGCGGCAGACAGCTAAGAAGTTTAAAATATTTTTTAAAAAATTAAAAATAGAAACAGAGAGAGACAGAGGGAGTAAGTAGGGTGCTCTAACCTGGCTCCTTGGCTATGTCAGGAGGGCAGAGGGTCCTTGGCGGTCCTGATCCCTGAATGGGGCTGCTCAGAACTCAAACATAGAAGGCTGCTCTTTGGCTTATCCTGGCTTCTTGGCTGTGACTAAGGGGGGGAGGAAGGTGAAGTCTGGGCAGGGGGTCTTCGGTGGTCCTGATCGTCCATAAACAATGTTAAAGTAAAATCCGTTACTGGGACCAGCAGTTAGTGTAATGGCTATGTCACTGAACTCCCATGTAGCCAACCGTGGTTCGAGCCCAAGACCTGGTGGCTTAAACTCCTGCCGGGCATGTGTGCGTGCGTGTCCAAGATCCCGAGAGGAGAATGGAGGAGAAGGGATTGCGGTATGGCCATCCCCCTGGAGGGTGATTTCTTGCTTTCTGTCTCTCTGTCTGTCTCTGTCTTTTTGGCAAATGCACGTGCCATATAGCAAAAACCTCTAAAAAATAAAAATAAAAAAAATAAAATAAGTTCCTAAAAGCTTTTGGGTTGTTGGAAAAGTCGTGACACATTTTTTGCATAGAAAAACATAGATCGTGGGATCAGCAGATGGCATAATGCTTCTGTTGCTGAACTCCCACATAGTTGACTGCAGTTCGAGTCCTGGACCTGGCAGCTTAAAACTCACATTGTGCATGTGTGCTCAAAATCCTGAGAGGAGAGTGGAGGAGGAGGGATTGCGGTGTGGCCATCCCCCGGGGGGTGAGTTCGCGCTTTCTGTCTCTCTTTCTCTCTCTCTGGCGAGTGCATGCTCCCTATAGCAAAAATCTCACTTAAAAAAAAAAAAAACCATAGAGGGACCAGCATGTGGAGTAGCGGTTACATTGCTGGACTCTCACACGGCTGACCACTGTTTGAGTGTGAGACCCAGTGGTTTGCAGTTCATTGCAGGTGCGTGTGCATGTGTGCCCAAGATCCTGGGAGGAGAGTGGAGGAGAAGGGATTGTGGTGTGTCCGTGCCCCCGGGGGGTAGTTTCTCACTTTCCCTCTCACTGTCTGTTTCTCTCTGGCAAAAACCTCTAAAAAAGGTGGGGGGGGGGGAAGAAAACCACAAAAAAAATACGTCACGACTTTTCCAACAACCCAGTAATATTTTGGGTCAGTACTTTGAAGACCAGAATATGTGTAATGACATGATAGGTCTGTGGAGCCAAGCTGAGGTGACTCGGTCTGACTTTTGTCATGTTCGGGTTTTTAAATGATTGTTACTGACTAAGCCTGGGACCATAGCTTCCGGACCCTAATTCATGTGTGCATTTGAGTGAAACGGCTTTTACCAGCCACCCGGGGTGTTATATGAAATATACTTCCTGGACTTGTCCATAGTCTAGAAGGTAAGGGAGCCAGGTCTCACGTGACTGACTGTAGTTCAGATCCCCTCCAACCCCCACGCCCCACAACTGGTGAGTTGCAAAATTTGCCATGCCCCAAATCTTGACAAGAGGGAAAGGAAGGAAAAAGATTGTAGCATGACCGCCTCGCACTGGGGTGCTTTTTCTCTCTCTCTCTCTCTCTCTCTCTCGTTCTCTCTCTCTCTCTCTTTCTCTTTTTTTTTAAATTTTAAAAATTTTTTTGGAGAGATTTTCGCTATAGGGCGCATGCGCTCGCCAGACAGACAGAGAGAGACATAGAGACAGAAAGCGAGAAATCACCCCCCAGGGGGGATAGTCACGCCGCAATCCCTTCTCTTCCATTCTCCTCTCGGGATCTTGGGCACACACGCACACGCACCCGGCGTGAGTTTTAAGCCACTGGGTCCAGGACACGAACCGAGGTTGACTACGTGGGAGTCCAGCGACATAGCCATTACGCCAATTGCTGGTTCCCTCTCTCTGTTTCTCTTCATCTCTCTGGAGAGGGCACACATTTTCTGGCAACTAAGATAAAGTAACTTGCATCAAGGTTTTTTCTTTTAAAAAGTTTTTTTTTTTTTTTGTCAGAGGACGCATGTACTCACTAGAGAAAGAGAGAGAGAGAGAGTGAGAAAGCGGCCCCCGTGGGAGATGGCCGTGCTGCAGTTCCTTCTCCGTTTCTCTGTTTGAAATATTGGGCACTTGCACACACATGACTGGTGTGTTTTTTAAAGGCACTGGGTCCAGGACTTGAACCATGCCGTTGACCATGTAGGACCCAGCTCCTTCACCACCACGCCACTGGCGGACCTAGTTCTAACATTTACAAAAAGGAAAAAAAAAATAGATGCTTCCTTACAGTGGTGTGAATAATGGTGGGTGGGACTGACCCAAGGCGGGACAGTCAAGTGCTGTGCAAACCCTGAGCCACACGGTGCGCTGTGGTTCAGATTCTGGCCCTGGTGGCTTCAAAACACACCCAGCCCGTGTGTGCTCCGAATCCGGATGGGACGGAGAAATCGAGGGAAGGGGACTGTGGCGTGACCATGCCCTGACGAGCACGCTTCCTCTCTGTCTTTCTCTGGTGAGTACATATGCCTTTCAGCAATTAAAAAAAAAAAAAAACAGTAGCTGCTTTTCAGATATACTATATTCCGTATTCTTATCTCTGTGTTCCTGGGTGACGATTTTGGAATTTCTTTCCAATTCTGAAACTGGCAGTAGGTTCCGATCTCCCTATCTTCTGATTTATGTCAGTACATCACAAGCTGATCTGGCAGAAAGCCTTTCTTTTCATTTTTACCAGTGCTAAACAGATTGGTTTCTATACTCGATCTTAGCCAAAAGGCTGAGAAGATAGATTGACTCTTTAGAGAAACATCTTTTACTTCTCGGTATAAGAGAACTTTTCATTTCTAAAGAGAAAAGGAGGCTGGGCCGCTGAGAGGCAGATAAAGGTGGAATAAAGTTTTTATGCTTTAATGGCTCTGCATCCTTTAGGTATGTTTTAACTTTATAGTTCTTTGCCCGCAATGTTCATAGGCTAGGAATAGATTATTTCACCCAGCAGGCAGGATACTTATGTTCAAAAAAGAGCAATAAATTTGTTTTTAAAGCACTTAGTTGTCTTACAGATCACCATGTGGGATTTGGCCAGTGGGAAACTTCTGCGATCAATAACAGATGCTCATCCTCCAGGAACGGCAATCTTGCACATCAAGGTAATAGCTCTGTTTTCTTTTTCTAGTCATTTTTATTATTCTGCCTTTGTCTGCATTTTAAAGTCCGTGTATCTATGTTGATCATCAGAAGCTCCAAATGTGTTTAATATGGAGCTGGGCATTACCTTATAAATAGCATTGTTGACATGGTGCTGTTTTTTATTTGACTTAACCCAAGTTAAAACCAGAGATGGGCCAGTATGGAAATACTCAACTGCAAATTGTAATGACGTCTAATGGGTGTAACAGCAAACAGGGCAAATCCACACGGTTCCAGACTAGCGGCGGGCAGCAAAGACTCGCAGCGCCCCGCTGAAACTCGTGTGGAGAGTTCAGAAAGGCTTTTGCCTCTGTTAAGGCTGCCAAGATTTTATTGCTGAGGTGGTGTGCCCTGTACCCTTTGCTGCGAGTTCGCTGAGGTTCAAGGCACCAATTGAGAAAGAACCAGGGTTTGGATTTTGTTTAGAAATGTATCTGTTGGTTTATTTTCTTTCAGACCTCTAAAGGGAAAACATTAAGCCTTGGCTTTCTTTTTACAGGCTTGAAAAAAACAAAGTGACTGAGTTAAAAGGTTTCGTTTATAAATATATTCTGAACACTGGTTCTTGCATGCTGTCAAGCCCATGTTCAGAAGTATAAAAGGTAAAGAACTGTAACCAGGGAAGTCTAAAATCAGATCCTCTGGATCTTAATCATGTACACATTGTGTCGCTTAGCTGTGCAGAGCTCTTTTATCCGGACTATGCTTTTTAAAGGCTGCAGGCATCTGGAGTTTATATGTGTATATCTAGGTTAGTTACAGAAAAGTCTTTTGTGACAGGCAGTATTGAAGCATTTAGTAACAATGAAAACAACCAAGATAAGTAAAAGTGGAAAGAATTTCTCCTCTTTCAGAACATTATGGTAATTTACCTCGACCTCTTTTCATATGGCAGGAGAAAACTTCTAATGTGTTATAGCTGATTATATATCTATGTCTTATCTCTCTTAATAGAGTGAGGTCTTTGAAGTTAGCATCTGTCATTTATCTTTTTGCTTTAACCATAGTAGCTGCTCAATGAATGTTTGATTAAAGGACTAACTAGTTGGTGGTCTATATAAAAGGCCAATCCTTTTGCAAAAAAAAATATATCTGGAGAAACAATAAGAAAAGATAAAGGTAGAGAGAAAAGAGAATAATAATGCAACTGAAATTAAAGCAATTAAAAGCCATTCTGTTGCTTGGGATGGGTGACGAACTGGTATATGCTGATGCGACATTAGAGGAAGAGGTATTTATGGTCAGATACTTTGAAAGTCTCAGATGGACAGCGGTCACTTGCACTTCAACATTCTTTTTTTAAATTTTATTTATTCATTCACTGATTTTAATTTGGCCAGAGAGAGACACAAAGAGCGAGAGAGGGAAAGTGAGAAAGTAAGCCACCAGGTCCGCGACTCAAACCGTGGTTGACCATGTGGGAGTGTCCAGCACCTTAACCACCACGCCACCTGCTGGTCCCTGCACTTCAACATTCTTATACATTGTTCTCCAAACTTAACCTTACAGCCCGTCAGTACAAAGTCAGGCTGGCACCCTCTGCGTGTGTGTGTGTGTGTGTGTGTGTGTGTGTGCGTGTGTGTGTGTGTCATTATATAAATATAGTGCTGAACTAGTTTTGAGGTACATTATAAAGTGCATACGGAAGAGCAGAAAAGTAGTTTTCTACCTCTGCTCGTTTTCCTGTACTTCGGTGGACCGTCTACGCACACTCCTAGGGTATATGCTTCCCATTTGGGTGACCGACTTCGTTATGTGTGGAACGACTTCGTTTTGCACGTGTGTGGGGTCAAGGGAGAGTAACGTGCAGTGTCCTGCTGGGCCTCATCCATCCCTGACTGAGCACGAAGCAGGCCGTAGGCTGGGTCACCCACCTCCGGGCTTAGAGACGTCAGTCAGGGTAATAGCAACAAGTGAAGTTACTCCGTTCTGTCTTACAACACTTGTTACACTTCAGAAGAGCTCAGCACTCGCTGTCATTACGGACATTGTTTGTTTGTTGTTCTGCATTTTTCATATTAGGTAATAATACTGAAGTATACCCTGTGAAAGAAGACAAGGAGGTAACATTTTTAGGAAGAGTTACATAGAAAGTTAATAGTTTTAGAGATAATGGAGTAACTCTTCAGTTATTCAGAAAATATATTCAGACAGATTTATTTCCCATAGGTCCCAAGTGTCTTATACTGTTTATTCTTGAAAACTGGGCAACTGCAAATGTGTCTAAAGAAGTTAACGTAAGACTCCAAGCAGAGAATGTTAAGATTTTTCTCAGTCTTAGCTTGTATTTTTCTTGTATCCCAATGAAAGATGTCTTTACATTTTTGGAGGTTTCAGTGTTATTGAGATATTGAACCATTTTTATTTTAAACAAGGGTAAGTTTATATACTTAGAGTGATGAACTAAAACTAGTGTCGGTAATTCAAATGCTATTAGATATGTATGTTGTAGATCTTCAAAATTTCTTTTTCCTTTTCTTAACACTTGACTGCTTGGTCAAAAATCTGTAAGACAATAAATTTCTTTTCTGTTTAGTTTACAGATGATCCAACTCTGGCAATTTGCAATGACAGCGGAGGCTCTGTTTTTGAATTGACATTTAAGTAAGCGACTGGTGGATATTTCTTGACAAATGAAACAACTAGTTCTGGTTTAATGAAATTGAACATAAAGAGGTCTGGAAAACCAACATGATTGAAAATAGGTTATGACTCTTTCTTATAGTTACCTGGGGAGGCTTCTTGAGCATATGGAGTTTGGGCTCAGCCCCCACAAAATTTAATTTCAGCAGTTCCAAGTACTCCTATCCTTCAGGAGTCTCTTAAGAACTGTTGAGCCTGGGAACTATCATTTTGGAGTAGTTACTAATTTTGGTTTAGGCTGCAGGCACAGTTGATTATAACCATAATATTAAGGAGGAGGAAGATTTTTACTACCTAAGAATTACTCTGTTTAATAAGAACAAAAATTGCTGGGGCCAGCAGATGGCATAATGGCTACATTGCTGGACTCCTACATGGTCAACCATGGCTTGAGTTCTGGACCTGGTGACTTGAAACTCACGCCAAGTATGTGTGCGTGTGTGCGTGCCCAAGATCCCGGGAGAAGAATGGAGGAAAAGGGATTGCATCTTGGCCTTCACCATGGGGAGTGATTTCTGAACTTTCCCTCTCGTTGTCTCTGTCTCTTTCTCTGGCTAATACGTGCTTCCTAAGGCAAAAACCTCTTAAAAAAAAAAAAAAGAACAAAAATTGTCCAGATACATTAAGGAACATTTATGAAGTTATTTTAAAAAAGTAGAACATATTCCATGTGTACCACGTGTTCATATGTTCTTCAAAGTTAATGGCCATCTTTATTTTTGGCATTTCTCATAGCTTCTCAACAATGCTGATGAGTTTGAAGTCATTGTTGAAGAAGATACTATTCATCTGTCAGCTAATGCTTACTGAGCACCTCCTCTCTGTAGGCATTTATCCAGACATGAGAGTTAGAGCTGTGAACAAGCCAGCCCCCTGCTCTAACAACTTACATACTCGTTGGAGGTGGGGGCGATAGGGAGACGTGGGAAACCAACACCTAAATACCTTTAGGTAGGTGTGAGTGCTGCGAAGGGAATAAGACAGGTTAGTGTGCTGGAGTACACTTGAAGGCAATTTCAGAAAGGCCTTTCTCGGAAGGCGGCATTTAAAAACAAACAGACAAAACCTGAAGGAAGAGCTGGCCAGCAAATGCAAAGACCTGGGGGAAGTGTTCCAGGCAGAGGAACGTTCCGATGCTAAGACTGAGGTGGCACATCTCGGCCTGCTGGTGGAGGGAGGGGCAGAGGCAGCATGATTATGTCAGTAACAGCAGTAATGGGAGAGAAGTGAAGGCAGCAGCCAGATCCTGTGGGCCTGTAAGACGTAAGTAAGAGTTTCAATTTTGTTTAGGTACAGGGCCAAGCCAATGTAGAGGAGCCATAGATCAGACCTGTACAGTGAGAAGATCTTGCTGCTGCTGTGTGGAGTTCGGACTGTGGGGAGCAAGAGTAGGAGGCAGCTGTCCAGGCTAGAGGTGGTGTGTGGACCGTCACCAAGTGGATTCTGAAGTGTTCGGTTATGTTTGCAGGAGAGTGATGGGAGTGCGGACGTGCGAATCGAGATGTCTTTTCAGTGGTTCCAAGGGCGAAGTTTGCTGTATTGAGCCGCTGCACTCTAAGCCTGAGTTGAAAGATCATCCCATCACACAGTTTTCATTATTGGCCATGGCCTCCTTGACAAAGGTGGGTGTATTCAGAAGGTGGAACTCACAATTTCTAGAGATACTGAACACCAGAAAATGACAAAGTCTAAGGTAAATGTTGAAAATCTATGTTTCTTCTAAAGATACTGGTCATTGGACTGAAACCATCCTTGAAAGTGTGGATGACTTTTCCCTATGGACGGGTGAGTAAGCCTCTCCATCTGACTGGCAGAAGGGAAGGCCGTATCAGGCTGGGGCGATGACTTGTGAGGGCCAACCCTGTATCACTGGCAGGTCAAGAGGAAGTCAGCATTCCAGAGGTGGTTGTCTGACTTACCTCGAGGTGACCAAGGCAGCACCAGCTGGGGACTACAGCCGAGTCCGGGATCGTAAGAGCTTGCCCTTCCATACCTTTATCACTTCCGGTTTTTCTCACATAAACAGCATATGACTGGTGTTTGTTCTTAACCGCAGGTCGGCAGTCTCTGTGTATTGCTGTCCTGTGGTTGAATTTTCCTAGAGTCATTCACTGCCCTTTTGAGTGTAGTGTGATTTGCTTATTAGATTTAAAGTGGGAGGAGAGGCTGATGTGTTGAGTCCCTGCCTTGATTTTCGGTGTGTGGAAGGCATCTGTGTGTGTGACTGCCGCAGGGAGGCAGGACGAAGCTCTCATGTCCACTGCTCTGACACTGAACTGCTGACAGAGCCCGCCCTCTGTCATAGCCATCAGAAATTGCTACTTACAGACGCTTTTCTTGGCTTCTGCTTCTGCTTCTGATATTTTACTTTGAGGGATGATACTTTCCAGAATGCATTACTAATACCCCAGTTTCCCCTTTCTTTTCCACTTGCTTGTTTCAGAGAGTTGTGATTTTCCAGTGAGTGTATGAGGAGAGAGATTGATGTGACGAGATGGAGAATGATGGCTAGTTCAGAAAGCAGCCCTACACCGAGGGGGAGCACTCTTCTTATTTATACCATTCTTTTCTGGGCCCTAGGGGAAGCAGGTGTGTCTTTTCAGATGGGAAAACTGGTTTCTTAGGTTAGCTTTACAGTAAATTGAGGGATTTGATCATGGTGGTATGCGTTTGCTTTTTTTTTTTTTTTTTCCTTAAGGTTTTTGCTATAGGGCATGTGCACTGGCCAGATAGAGGGAAAGTGAGAAATCACTCCCTGGGAATATGGCCATGCCACATTGCCTTCATTTTCTTGGGATGCTGGGCATACGTGCACATGCACCTGATGTGAGTTTAAAGCAGCCGGTCCAGGACTCAAACAAAGCATGGTACACCATGTGGGAATCCAGTGCCTTAATTGCCTGCCACCTGCAGGCCCCTTTTCTGTATGTTTTTAATTGATATTTTTCCAATATTTTATTCTGAATACTTTGGAAATTTTTTTTTTTTTTTTCATTATAGGGCGTGTGCGCTCGCCAGACAGACAGAGAGAGACATAGAGACAGAAAGCGAGAAATCACCCCCCAGGGGGGATGGTCACGCCGCAATCCCTTCTCCTCCATTCTCCTCTCGGGATCTTGGGCACACACGCACACGTGCCCGGCGTGAGTGTCCACCGAGTCCGGGACGTGAACTGCGGTCGACTACGTGGGAGTCCAGCAACATAGCCATTACACTAACTGCTGGTTCCCTATTCTGAATACTTTCAAACAAAGAATTTGAGAGAATTTTTACATTGAACACTAGTGTATCTGCTATCTAAATTTTACCATTACCTTTTGCCTTTTTTTTTTCTTTTAAAGAGAGAGATTTTTGCTATAGGGTGCATGTACTTGCCGTAAAGACAGAGACAGAAAGTGAGAAATCAAACCCCGGGGGGATGGCCACACCGCAATCCCTTCTCCTCCATTGTCCTCTTAGGATTTGGGGCATATGTGCCCGGCGTGAGGTTTAAGCCACTGGGTCCAGGACTTGAACCATGGTTGGCTCCATGGGAGTCCAGTGACGCAACCATTATGCCACCTGCTGGTACCTGTACTTTCTTTATTACTTATCAGCCCATCTCTTTATGCACCCATCAAACTACTTTTTCATATATTTCAAAGTAAATTGTAGAAACTAGTACTCTTCTCCCTAAATATTCAGCATATATATCGTTGGCTAGAGATTAGTATTTTTTAAGTTTTTCTTTTGGTGTAAAATTTACATAAAATGGGGGCCGGTAAGTGGCATAGTGGTTAAGGGTGCTAGACTCCCACATGGCTGACTGTGGTTTAAATCCCAGACCTGGCAGCTTGCTTTCTCACTTTTTCTCTCTCTCTTGCTCTGTCCCTCTCTAGTCAAACTAAAATATAAATAAATAAGTGAAGTTGAACAAAATAGTTCTTAATTTTTTTAAAATTTACATAAAACGAAACGCATGGCTCTTGAATGTATATTTGCTGAACTTTGACAAACGGGTATATCTTTGGAAACCAAGCCTCTGTCAAGGTGTAGAACATTGGCATCAGTCCAGAAAGTTTCCTTATGACACTTCCCAGTCAGTCCTGTTGAGTTGGAATTTTAATGATAAATTGGGTAACGTTTTATCCGGGAAGACTAGTCAGCTGTTCTTTTGGACCAGAACTTCCACTGCCTGTCTGTTACTTTTCTCCTTCTCCTCACTTAGATGGACCCGTCCAGTGTCCCACTGCTAGCCTGGCACTTCGTGGCAGTGCATAATTATGTGAACCCCATGCTTGCTTTCTGCAGAGGAGATGTTGTTCATTTTCTGTTGGTAAGTCCTAATGTGATGCCAGGTGTGTTACAAAGTCTTTAACATTTCTTCCCTGATTCACCAGGAAAGCTAGGTTGTAGAGCCCTGTTAAAGAAGTACTGGCATCGAGGAGAATAAACTCACATAATTATAGAGCTAGATTACAAGAGAAAGGAATGTGGCTAAATAGTATCTCTAAGAAGTAAATCAAGGAAGCGTAGGTTTTTTCTTTTTTTTTTTTTTTGAGAGGTTTTGCTATAGGGCGCGTGCGCTCACCAGACAGACAGAGAGACAGAGAGACAGAAAGCGAGAAATCACCCCCCAGGAGGGATGGCCACGCCGCAATCCCTTCTCCTCTGTTCTCCTCTTGGGATCTTGGGCACGCACACACACGCTCCCGGGAAGCGTTTTTTAAAATTTTTTATTTGAAGATAGAGAAGTCAAAAACATATTTAAGAGCAAAAGGAAAAGAGTCCTTACAAAGGAGTGGCCAGGGGTCAGCCCTGTAGTACAGCAGTTAAGCACTGTGCTTTGGGAACTGGATTCCATATGGCCAACTGCAGCTCAAGTTCTAGCCCAGTGAAAGATAAAAGGTTCCGGTGTGACCACGCTCCACTGGAGAATGCTTTCTCTCCCTCTCTCTCTCTCTCTTTTTTTTTGAGAGATTTTTGCTACAGAGCATGTGCATTCACCAGAGAGACAGAAAGTAAGAAATCACCCCCAAGAGGGGATGGCCCCACTGCAGTCCCTTCTCCATCCTCTTCTCAAGATTTTTGGTGTGCACGCACACGCTCCTGGTGTGAGTTCTAAGCCACCAGGTCTGGGACTCGAACTGCAGTCAACTATGTGTGAGTCCAGCAACGTAACCACTGCACTATCTGCTGGTCCCTCCCTCTATCTCTTTCTCTCATGAGCACACGTACCTTCTGGCAGTTGAAAAAGAGGCGTGACTGAACGTGCTAGCAGAAGAGGGGTGACGCTAGACAGTGATGGAGGGGCTAGCTAGTATTTAGAGCACATACAGTTCACGTGATTTTCTTTGGGAAGAACTTTAGAAAGTCTTAGGGAAATAGGTGGTGTTGACATCGATCTTTTTAGTTTATGAAACACTTCTAATACATGCGGCATTTGAACAGTTTGGCACTATCTTATTTTCGTTTTATGGATGAGGAAACTGAGGAGTAAGAGGCTGCTCTTGGTCACACAGCAAGAGTAGTAGGACCTGAACGCTGGCTCTAGATGGCAAGTTTGCCTCACCAGTTTCCTTCCTGTCAGGGGCGTGATCTGTGATACTGGGACTACACGCCATGTTCACAGCACGTGGGCTCAGGTTTTGGTTTACAGCATCACTGGAAGTGATGGGACTAGAAAGCAAACAGGAATTGGGACTTACAAGGAAAGGCATCAAGATTACTACTATGAAAGTATGTTAAAGGGGGGACCAGCAGGTGGCAGGGTGGTTAAGGTGCTGGACACTCCCACATGGCTGACCATGGTTCAAATCCCGGACCTGGCGGCTTGCTTCCTCACTTTCCTCTCTCTCTGTGTGTGTCTCTCTCTCTCATTCTCTAGTCAAATTAAAATAAATGAATGAATAAATTAAATTAAATTAAAAAAGAAAAGTATGTTAAAGGGACCAGCATGTCACATAGTGGTTATGTCACTGGGTTCCATGGCTGACTGCGGTTTGAGTCCCAGACCTAGTGGCCTGAAACTCATGCTGGGTTCGTGTGCATGCATGCATGCGTGCCCAAAATCCTGGGAGGAGAATGGAGGAGAAGGGACTGTGGCTTGGCCTTCCTCCCTGGGGGGGGGGAGTGATCTCTCACATTCCCTTTCAACTATCTGCCTCCCCCTTCAAGTGCATGTGCCCTAAGGCAAAAACCTCTAAAAAAAAGTGTTTAAGGAAACCTAAGTTGAATATAATGCCCCCCTCCCCCATAGGTTAAGGTGACTTGGATCCCACATGGCCGACTGTGGGTCAGATCCTCACTCCCATGGCTAAGAAAACACACCAGGTGCATTGTGACAATATGGAGAAATGGAGAACGGGTTGTGGTGTGGCCACACCCCATTGGGGGTACCTTCTTCCTCTCTCTGTTTTTGGTGAATGCATGCATCCTCTGCTAATTAAAAAAGAAAAAAAGAATTGAGTGTCCTTAATTCCAGGTGGTCAGGTGCATCTGTGTTTATCTTTCTTTATTGTTGTATTACCTTAGAGCAGACGTGGGAAGTAGAAGATGAGGGTTATAGAGTATACACGTATACGCTGCATATAAACAAACTCCGCGCTGGTCCTTCCGGCTGTTGGAGCTGTAATAGCACAGCTCAGGAAAGCCTAGTTTTGGTGCAGCAGCGTCTTTTTTCCCTTTCTTTAATGAACTCCTGTTGATTTTACTGTGCCATGTCTCCAATCCCACTTTATACTTTAGCTAAATAGAATCACTGCTCTGTTGAAGTTAGGTGGTTTTGAATCATGACAGTAATTGAATCATGCCACAACATTTGCCAATGCCAGCAACCAAAACACCAGCCAGGTATGCCTTAGATTTTGGTACAAATCATGGGGTGAGTGATTTTTTTAATTCAAGTAATTATTTTGTTTTCTTTTTTTTCTTAAAAATTTTTTTTTCCTTTTTTGGAGAGGTTTTTGCTATAGGGCATGTGTGCTCGCCAGAAAGAGAGAGACAAGAGAGACAGAAAACAAGAAATCACCCCCCAGGGGGATGGCCATACTGTAATCCCTTCTCCACCATTCTCCTCTCGGGATCTTGGACACGCACGCACACACGCCTGGCGTGTGTTTAAGCCGCCGGGTCCGGGACTCGAACTGTAGTAGACTATGTAGAAGTCCAGTGACATAGCCATTACACCAACTGCTGATCCCTCTTTTAAATTTTTAGAGGTTTTTTTCCTTAGGGCATGTGTACTCACCAGAGAGAGAGAGAGAGAGACAGGTGGGAAATCACCCACCTAGCGGATGGCCACAGTCCCTTCTCCTTCCTTCTCCTCCCAGAATCTTGGGCACGCATGCACACGTGCTGGGTATGGGTTTCAAGCCACTGGGTCCAGAGCTTGAACTGTAGCCAGCCAGGTGGGAGTACAGTGACATAACTGCTTTGCCACCTGCTTGCCCCCATGTAATGAGTTCTTTAATTATCAGTATTTTTGGCCTCTCCACACTGAACGAGATTTATACCGTTAAGTGGAAGATAATTAAGTATCTGAAAAAGTCCCTCAGAAATAAAAATATTTAAAAAAAAATTTTTTTGGAGAGGTTTTTGCTATAGGGTGTGTGCACTTACCAGAGGGACAGAGAAACAGAAAGTGAGAAATCACCCCCCAGGGGGGATGGCCATGCCGCAATCCCTTCTCCATTCTCCTCTTGGGATCTTGGGCACGTATGCACATGCACCCGGCATGAGTTTAATCCACCAGGTCCAGGACTTGAACCATGGTTGACTACATGGGAGTCCAGTGACTTTATGCCAACTGCTGGTCCCTAAAAATTTTTAAAGTTTAAAAAAAATAAAAAGAAACAACAAAAACATTAATAAGTCCCTCATAGAAGAGCTGATATTTACATTATTTTTATTTCATTATCAGGTTAAGAGAGATGAATCTGGAGCCATACATGTCACCAAGCAGAAGCATCTTCACCTGTACTATGACCTCATCAACTTCACTGTGAGTGTCACTCAGATGAAAGCCCCTCACGCAGCTCCTGTCATGCTCAGGTGCTGTGGTACAGTAAGGTTACTAGACTTCCTGCCTTGAATCTTGGCCTGTGTGATCATATACCATACAAAAGTGGAGGCTTGCTTAGTTTAGTGTGATGTAATTAGACCTGTTTACTGCCTCCTAGCTTTACGTCCTACAGAACGCTGGCAGAATCAGAAAACAATTTTCTTTAATAATGTCTTAATTAGCTCAAAGAGGAGTTTGGGTTAGAAGAATTCCAGTGAGTTTCTTCAGGGTCGCTGCCCTGCTTTCCCTGTACATTTTCGTGCTTCTGAGCTTGTCCTGATTAGTTCCGAAACTTGTGTAACTTGTTCATTTACTGGGACTAAAACCTTTGCAGGACTGCTCGGTGGTATGGTGGCTAAAGGAGTCAGATTCCACATGGCTGACTGCGCATTTTGAATCCTAGTTCTGGCAGCTTGAAGAGCACACGGGATGCATGTGCATACGTGCCCCAGTCCCCAACAGGATGAAGACGTGGAGAAAAGATGGTGCATGTCCTCTGGCAATGAAAAAAATCATAAATATGTATGACTTACTGAGCTGCACGTTGAATTTTTTAAAAGAATTATTTAATTCAATTTTTTATTACTATTTTTTAATTTGACCAGAGAGAGAAAGGGAAAGCAAGAAAGCAAGCCACCAGGTCTAGGACTCAAACTGCAGTCAGACATGCGGGAGTCCAGCACCTTAAACAACATGCCACCTGTTAGCCCCAAGCACATTGCATTAATTTTTTTTTTTTTTAACTTACAGCTTTTCATGAGCCAGAAAGAGAAAGATAGTATCCCCAGCAGTATCTCGCCATGCCACGATCCTTCCCTGGCCCTCAGCCAGCTAAGACGTTGGGCATGCTTCGGTGCCAGGTGGTTCAGACAGCATGGGAGCCAAATCCCAGCTTTCCCACGTGGCCTCCGCATCACACCCTGGTGCACTGCTACCTGTGCCACGGTGCCGGCGCCTGCCCGTCACGTTTGGAGCTGTGTATATTGTCTTAGAAATTAGGGCTTTTTCCATACACATTTCATGAAGTAATTTCTTCAAACTTTCATAGGCTCTCAGTGTCTTTACCACCTCCAGGACTCCTGCTGGAATCATCCAAAACAGTCTTCTGTCACTTCTGTGTGAGACGTTCGAGATAAAGTGCTTTTAAAATCTGCAAATGACATACCAATAAAAAAAGCTTCCCAACCCTAAGTAGCCATTCTCCTGACAGCAGGCAGTTTATCCTACAACATATTTGTGATGTGATCTGTAACTCTGTTGGTTGTAAATTACCTTTAAAAGGCTTCTTTACAGGGGTCAGCATTTGGCATGTTGGTTGAGGTGATGGATTCCCACATGGCCAACCAGGGTTCGAGTCCCGGACCTTGTGGCTTGAGGATCACGCCATGCACATGTGTGTGCCCAAAATCTCAGGGGATTGTGGTGTGGCCATCCCCCCTGGGGGTCTGGTTTCACACATAGTTTCATACGTGCTCTGTCTCCAGCAAGTGCACACATCTTATGGCAAAAAAAAAAAAAAAAAAAAAGAGAGAGAAAGAAAAATCTTTAAAAAAATGTTAAAAAAAAAAAAGCTTTGTTTACAGCAATGTCTCCACTTGCAATTTTGCGGGTCTAATCTCAGGAGTAATTATTAAACTTTTTCTTTGTCTCAGTCATTCTCTTTCTTTTAACCTCGTGACCTGTGAAAGCACTTAAGAAAAACTAGCACTAATTAAGATTGTCTGAGGCTAAATAGTGAGTCTTTCCTAAATCATACTTCGTCTTTCAAAGTAAGCAAAAGAATAACTTGAAGAGCTTTTTGTAAAAGGTTTGTATATCAGACTCCCTGTTTACCTTTCTGTTTTTTTTAAGAGCGATTTTTGCTATGTGTGCATGCACTCGCCAGACAAACAGAGACAGAGAGACAGAAAGCAATAAATCACCCCTCTCGGGGAGATGGCCACGCCACAATCCCTTCTTCTCTATTCTCCTCTTAGGATCTTGGGCATGCACACACATGTGCCCAGCATCAGTTTCAAGCCTCCGGATCCAGGACGTGAACCATGGTTGGCCATGTAGGAGTCCAGCAGCGTAACCACTCTGCCATCTGCTGGTCCCTAAACTCCCTGTTTTCTGAGTGAGGTTTTTTTGAGAGGGAAGGGAAGGGTGACTTCTATATAGTAATAGAGTACTGTGTATGTCCTTAGCATCTGTTAAAAGAAAGTTAATCCATTTTTAATTTGGTTATTTTTGATATGGTATTATGCAAATAACAGGTCATGCATATAAACCAACATGAATACTAGAGAGTTAAAGTGCAGGGAAGTACTTTGCTGGGGCTGCTTTTAAATTCTAATTGAGCAGAATTTAAGACTTCATTTATTTCTTGAGGAAGGATTAAGATTTCTAAAAATAAGAAATTATAATTTATATAACCCAAGAAATTTGTCAAAATCAATCCTTCAGAAGAATTTTATTTATTTATTTATTTATATTTTTTTGCTGTAGGGTATCTGTGCTTGCCAGAGAGAGACAGAGAGAAAGAGAGAAATGAGAAGTCACTCCCACCCCTGCAGGGGAGATGGCCATGCCAAAACCTCTTCTCCATTCTCCACTCAGGATTTTGGGCACGCACATACACACTCCTGGAGTGTCTTTCAAGATGCCAGGTCCAGGAGTCAAACTATGCAGTCAGCCATGTGGGATCCAGCCACCTTAGCCATCATGCCACAAGTTGGCCCTTTTTAAAACTATTTAGTACCTTTATAATTATAGTATCAATAATACTGAAAGAAAATTCTGAACATACAGAGAAATAGAAAGAGCAAAGAAAGAACTCTCGCATAATTTTTTGGAAGGTTTCCAAAGAAAACCATTTTCCAAAAAGCTTCTATTTTAAAACTATTTATTACTTCAATGCTATTAGCCGTACTTTGACCAGTTAAGTTTATGAAATTTGATTTGCCTTTTTTTCATTAATATTATAAATACTAGAAATGCAGGACTTTACACCGTGCTTAAGTAATTTATGCCAATGTGCCTTTAAAAATGTTTTTGTGAAAACCAATATATTGTGTAATCGATTGGTTACAGCTTGTACCCTTTGACGCTATGACAGGGTCATCTTAACACTGTCAAAATCCAGTCCCATTTTGTGCATGTTTGTTCTCTGGGCTGTCATTGAGTAGTTCTTGCTCTGGTTGCGTTGCCATAGAAGTTATTAAATGGATAAGGTCTTCAGTGCAATTTAACTGGATGGTCAAGCTTTCTCCTTGTCCTAAATGATGATGAAGGCTAGGCCTCATTTGTGTTTTATTATGTGCTTGGATTGCAGTGGATAAATTCACGGACAGTCGTGCTCTTAGACAGCGTAGAAAAGTTGCATGTCATTGATCGGCAAACACAAGAGGAGTTGGAGACGGTCGAGATCTCAGAAGTTCAGCTGGTCTATAATAGCAGCCATTTCAAGTCACTAGCCACCGGAGGGAATGTCAGCCAGGCGCTGGTAAGGGCAGTCCCTTGTTGTGGTATTGCTTCCATAAGCTTGGTATTTTGTTGTCATTTTGTTTGTTTTTTGTTTTTTTTTTCTAGATATAGGAATCCTGGGAGTTATCTTTTCTGTCTTGTGATGTTTCTTTCATTATTTGTAATTGGCATATAAAAATTGTTCATATTGGGACCAGCAGTTAGCGTAATGGCTATGTCGCTGGACTCCCATGTAGTTGACCGCGGTTCACGTCCTGGACCCAGTGGCTTAAACTCACTCTGGGTGTGTGTGTGTGCGTGCCCAAGATCCCGAGAGGAGAATGGAGGAGAAGGGATTGCGGCGTGGCCATCCCCCCCTAGGGGGTGGTTTCTCGCTTTCTGTCTCTCCGTCTCTCTCTGTCTTTTTGGTGAGTGCACGCGCCTGATAGCGAAAACCTCTCAAAAAAAAATTGTTCATATTTTTGGGGTATGTTTTTTCAATACATGAATACAATATGTAATGATCATATCAGGGTAAATAACTTATCCATCACCTCAAACATTTATCATTACTTTGTATTGGGGATAAAATTTTCTCTTCTAGATATTTTGAAATATGCAATAAAATGTCGCTAACTATAGTTACCTTACTATACCGTAAACACTAGAACGTGTTCCAGTTATAGAACTGTAATTTTGTATTCATTAACCAGCACCTCCCTAGTTCCTCTGCACTCCTGCCAGTGTCTTCTGTGAGGTCAGCTCGTTCAGTTCCTGCTTGGGAGTGAGAACAAGTGATTTTTCTCTTTCTACACTCGGCTTATTTCGCTTAATGTTCTCTAGACTCACGTCTTCTGGGGGATTCATGAATATTAATGTCTGCAAAGCCTCACAGAAGCTGTGTAAGGTTTTCAGATGAAAAAACTGAATGTCAGAGGTTTTAAATTTGTTTTACATCAGACCCAGTAGGTGGCAAAGCCAAAGTTTGAAACCCAGACTTATCAATAGTTTCTCTGCAATTTTCCCGGGCTTTTCAGACTTCTATATTGTATGTTGCTTTGTAAACTTCCCTATTATGGATGCCCATGGATGCCCTCTCGTGTTTTCTGTCGACACTTATCTTAAAGAACTTGGAGTTACCGTTTTCCGTCAGCCCCATTCTTTATCAGAAGCAGTGACAAGCCATCCAATAGCAGCCAGGCGGAAACAGTTCTGCAGAATTCGGAAGTTGGCATGTTTCCTCTCTTTCCACATTACTCTGAAAACTGAAAAGGCTGTGTAATATTAGAGAATTACTTCTTGAACCTTGAGATTTTTGTCACTATCACTATCAGACTGGCATTTTTTCTCTCCTCACTTAACGACGAAGCCATGTTGACTGAAGTGTCATCCCTGTATTTAATGTTCTTTAGCACTTAACATTTCTAATGTATGTAGTTTTTACCTTCCTTGTGACTTCTTTTTGGCACAGGCTTTGGTTGGAGAGAAGGCTTGTTACCAATCCATCAGCAGTTACGGTGGCCAGATCTTTTATTTGGGGACAAAAGTAAGCTCTTTCCAAACCTTTGTGCCTTAGCATTTGTGTCTTGGGACCTTGGGGCCCGAAGGAGGCTGTCGGCGAAGAGGGCGGGGTATCGCACAGCGAATATTAACCAGCAGGGCTGCAGAGCCTCTAGTGGTTAGTCGTGACCTCCGCTGTCAGACACGTTTTTACCTTTGTTTAGCGCTAACAGGAAGCTTGCTTTCTCCATCCAGGGGTACACGCTTTCGGAACCTTCCCTCATATTTATATTTTTGTGACCAGGAAGAATGACCTAATCGTGTATATTTGTCATGTAATTAAGATGACCTTTAGTTCAATTTAGGGTAGATTAAAATGAATCGAGACATTTTGCTTAGAATAAAACCATCAAAATAAGAACTTTTCAGGGACCAGCAGTTAGCGTAATGGTTATGTCGCTGGACTCCCATGTAGTCAACTGCGGTTCACGTCCTGGACCCGGTGGCTTAAAACTCATGCCGGGCGCGAGTGTGTGCGTGCCCAAGATCCCAAGAGGAGAACAGAGGAGAAGGGATTGCGGCATGGCCATCCCCCCTGGGGGGGTGATTTCTCGCTTTCTGTCTCTCTGTCTCTGTCTGGCGAGCGCATGCGCCCTATAGTAAAAAAAAAAAAAAAAAACCTTCAAAAAAATAAAAATTAAAAAAAAGAATAAGAACTTTTCATATATCAAATTCTTCCTGTATTTTTATTTTAAACTTAATGTGGAGAAACATTTACTCATTATTAAAATTCAACCAAAACACTCCCAGGGGATGTAAGCTTGGGCTTTCCTTGTTCTTGACCATGGAATTAACTACTTAGAACTCTAATAGAGCTATTGATCTTTAAGTGTTCATGTGATTTACTCTTTAATGTGGGTCCTTGAAGACCCACTAGCAAACTCCAAGGTGTATTTCTAATCATAGTACGAAATGTTTTTACTTAAAGAGACACAGAGTGAGATGTGGGACTGGGACAAATGTGTTTCCCAAAAAAGTCTGTTAAAAATGATCATTTTAATTTCGTGCTCTGTATTTTCCAGTCTGTTTATGTGATGATGTTGAGGAGTTGGAGAGAGGTGAGTTCAAAGTAACTTTATATGTTCGAGCTACTGAATTGATAGCATTTTAGTATTTCTGTTTTGACTTTGCAGAAGAAAATAATTTGGTTTTGTGCTTCTTAATTTCAGAAGTGTATATCAAAGCCATTGTAATTGTTAGATACTTGATTAGCTAAACGTGACTAAATAAATCAGAATTAGTTTTGGCTACATAGATCAGATCATTCAGGGCCGTAGTGGCTTGAGCGGGATTTCTCTTTCATGTCAAAGTGATGTGTAGGAAGGCAGTCTGTAGCTAGTGTGGACTCTCCAGCAGCTATTATGGATGCCCATGGCATTGGGTATGCTGTCCCTTCCCACCCTCTTTGTGTTTGAATTGTAATCTCAAGGTCATTTTCTAGTTACAGTCCAGTACGGTTACTAGAGTTGTAGCTGTTAGGCGCATGTCCCAGAGAGGAGGAGAGACAAAGTCAAGGTCGGTCTCTACCTTTTAAGGTGGTGTTCCAGAAATATTAGACAACATTCCATGTGTTTATCGTTGGCCAGAGCCTAGTCACAGTGCCCCAAGCAGCTGTAAGGGTGTTTTAGAAATGGCCTTAAGCTGGCGTATCGCTGTCTCAAATAAACTTGGGGTTTGTTCCTGCAGAGGATGGAGTGAATGGGTATTGTGATAAGTGACTAGCTGTATCTGCTACAGTGGCCTCCCAGATGTTCCTGTCCTTTCACATTTAGTCCCCGTGGCTGTCTGCACTAGTCTGTAGAGTCGATGTACTGGCCAATGGTTTAAGACACTTTTCTTGGAAATAAGACAGTCACATAGTTACTGAAATAATTTTACCGAGTAAATTTTAGCAACTTCTAGAAAGATATTTGATAAAATAGGAAGGAATTCTGACTGATACTTGGTCAGACTGAAGGATCTGTCTTCTCTCATTTATTTGTTTTAGAGGGTGGATCATCTTCTCAAACAAGATTGTCTTACAGAAGCTTTGGCTCTTGCGTGGTCTTTCCATGAAGGCAAAGCAAAAGCAGTGGTGGGTAAGTTAACAGAACACCTCTGGGGTAGGCATCGTTTCTCCGGAGCAGAGGGAATGAGTAATACTAATCACTCACAGAACACTCTCAGCAAGTGTTCGAGTATTCTGTATAAAGTGTTACTGGGACTTACAGGCTTTCCATAGAGAAGGCTAATGGTAAATGTAGGATATTGGAATTAAAGTACCACTTTTAAATTCTTTCATAAAAGAAAATTTACTATTAGAACAAAAGGGAAGCGCTTTGATATGTTATCTGTGTGAGGTGTTCCTGTAGTGGTGCATTATCCAGCATTTTCACACCTTGGGGTGGTTTTATTTGTCTTTAGCACAGAACGTGAATAGCAGACAAGAACACATTTCACCCCGAAGATGTGCACTAACTTCTGTTCTGTGTTGGATTTTTCTTTGCAGGACTATCAGGGGATGCCAGTAAGAGAAAGGCGGTTGTTGCAGACCGAGTGAGTATTTTGATAGGGTCTCTGGTAGGGCACAGTACTAGTGTGGACTTGGGATTTGCTCCTGTCTTTGGGCATAACTAGGTACATGGCTATAGTCAAGGAGAGAGTGTTTAAAAACGTAAGTGGAATCATAATGCATTGGCATCATCGTTAATGTTCTTTAAAGTCCTTCTTATCACCAAGTTCTTTCTTCCTTTGCTCACTCTCAGATGAAGAAGATGAAGTATAAAAATAGCTAAAAGACATAGAAAAGGGGAGAAAACCTGAGGCTCTGTATTATCTCTGAACCTAATTATAGCCTGTAAAAAAGTTGACATTTGGAGACCAGCAGGTGATGTGGTGGTTAAGGTGCGGAACTCCCACGTGGCCAACCATGGTTCGAGTTCCAGACCTGGCATCTTGAAAATCACACCAGGTGCATGTGCATGTGTGTGGGCCCAAAACCCCAGGAGGAGAATGGAGAAGGGATTGTGGTGGGAAATCACCTGAGGCGTGACTTCTCAGTTTCTCTCTCACTCTTTCTGTCAATAAAGCCACCATAATTTAAAATTATATTTAAAAAATAATAGTTTGATTCTGACAAGCACACACGCCCTATGGCAAAAACCTAAAATAAATAAGTAAGTTGGCATTTGTTAGTTTTTGTGAACTCACTAGGAACATGAGAAATACTACACATGCAAGTGTTTGTTTCCTGGAGGTAGTAGAGAGAGATAGTATTTTAATATTATTATTATTATTAATTAGCATTACTGCAATTGATTCTAATACTTAACATTATCCTTGAGTTCCTAGCCTAGACTTGGCTGAATTAATTCACTATAGAATTGCCCTCTCTTTTTATTGTGTAAATGCATTGATAGAAACTGTATTTCAAATGAGTATAAACATTTAGAAACCATCAGTAGAAACTGGCGAATTCATAGACTCATGGATGATTTGTTTATGCTTTTTAGGGAAATAGTTATAGCAGAAGATTATTAGTTTAACTTGAATTTTTTCTTTCTTTTCTTTTCTTTGAGAGTTTTCTTTTTGTTGTAGGGTGCGTGCTCTCGCCAGGGAGACACAGAGAGACAGAAAGTGAGAAATCACCCTCTGGGGGGGGATGTCCATGCCACTATCCCTTCTCCTCTATCCTCCTCTTGGGATCTTGGGCACACATGCACACGCGCCTGGTGTGAGTTTTAGCCACCAGGTCCAGAATTTGAACCACAGTCGATTACATGGGAGTCCAGTGACATAGCCATTACGCTAACTGCTGGTCCCTTCAATTTTTTATTTGTTAAGGAGTAAATACTACTGAGGTCTAAAACACGGAGTATTTCTTAGGAAAGCTTAGCAAATTTGTAGTAGCCCTCAGGGTGAAAGAAATGAGATAAAGGTTAAGAAAACTGGGGGAAATAAAGCCACCATAATTTAAAATTATATTTAAAAAATAATAGTCTGATTCTGTATTAATACATTAAATATTTCAAAACTTTAGAGATGTATTTTAATTTCTATGCAAGGCTATTTTCCTTCCAGATGGTGGAAATCCTATTCCATTATGCAGACCGAGCCCTGAAAAAGTGTCCAGACCAGGGGAAAATCCAAGTGATGGAGCAGCATTTTCAGGTACGCCTTCGGGTGCCCGCAGGTACATACAGCAACTGACCTCGTGAAAGCTTTTGTCTGGTTTTTTTTTTTTTCATTATTTATATAGCTGGAATAGATTAGTAAATAGTAAGTAGCTTTGTGGCTAGATAAACAGCCCTTCCCAAAGAATATTCTTTGGTAGCTTAGTGGTAATTATATCTTAGGGCTCGTTCAGACCAAGTTAGCATGACTGATTTGAATGAAGATCTAGTGAATGGCTTATCAAATTTAGACAACACCAAGAATCAGGGTTCAAAATGATCTTGACAGGAAAGTGCAGTTGGGCTTGTCCTGTGACCTAGTTCAATCCCACATGGCTGACTGCGGTTCGAGTCTCAGCCTAAGCTTTGACCCTGGGTCCCAGAGCTTGAAAAGTACACTGGGCACATGTGCCTACACACTCCAAGTCTAAACAGGATGGAGAAGTGGAGGAGAAGGGATTGCGACTCGATTGTTGCCCCATTGGAGCGTGTTTTCTTCTTCTGTCTCTCTCTCTGTTTCTCTCTCTCTCTCGTGCACACACTCTCTGGCTAATAAACAAAAGCAAAATTAAACAAGAAAACAGAAAAAGAAAAGTTCAAAGTCATTACAAGATGTAATTTAACAAGGACAAAGATACCAAGACTTGAATTAAATTCAAATAATTAAATCTTGTGAGCACTGGATTGGGACGATCCAGCTGAACAGGATTTTTATTGGCCACAAGGCTGAGATGAGCCCATAGTGTCTTAAGCCAGTACAAAGGGAAGTCATGGAACCTCAGGGTTATCTCTTGGAAATAAGACTTCTAAGGCATTTTATAGACTCTTTACAGACTAAGTCACATCCCCTTCCTGGGATGGCAGAAGGTTATATAAACAGCAGTTAAAAAACAAAAACAAAAGCTAGGTTATTTATTCTGAGAAGAAAGTAAGTGAAGGCATGCCTGCTCATGGATAATCAGGGCTGCCCCCTGAGACTGGCTGTGTTGCAGCAGTTGGGAGGCTAACCTGAGTGAGCAAGTGAAACTTAGAAGGTGCATTTCCATTTAAAATGACCAGCTAATAACAGATCAGCTCTTGGACCCTAAGTCCAAGGGTCCATGAGCTTGCCTTTTCTTCTGGTATCGAATGTAATCGAACGAAGGGAGGGTGACCCACTGACCCGGAGTGGCTTTAACAGACTTTCCTTGCTGGGTGGGACAGTCCGAGGTTCTGCATCAGTCTCCAGAAACTGGCATTGGAAACAGATCACTCTATTCCAGCTGGTTGAAATTCCTGTCAAGACTGGCTTGCACCTGAGTATGTCCCGAGAATCCGTATCTTACCAGCAGGTGGCAGTCCTGTTTGCTGCCTCAATCTTGATTTCTACCTTTGGCAAGGAACCTCACCTTTTCCTTGCAGTGGGAGTATGTAGCATTATTATGAATTTCTGCGTCCAAAGACTGATCAATATTTTGTCCTGTCACAATTATAGAAAATAATGTGAATCTTATGTTTGATTGGCTGTGTCTTTTTATGTATTTAAGAAAAGCTTTGCACCTGTAACTGTAATTTACTTGTATAAACTGGTAGGATAAACAGGCGTGAAAGTAGTCTGTCTTATACATCTTGTGACTTGCCTTTTCTTCTGGCTTTGCCTCACCTGGCCATGTGTCACCCATCCTAAAACCAAGTCAAACACCAGGCTCCTTCTGCCTCGCACCACCCCAGTATTACCCTGTGCTTCTGGTTTGCACCACCTTTACAGAGCCAAACATCTTGAAAGAGTGGTCTCCAATTTCTTATTTCCCTTTCATTCTTTAACCTATTCCATGCCTGTAAATTCTTTTTTTAAAAGAGATTTTTGCTATGGGGCATATGTGCTTGCGAGAGAGACAGAAAGTGAGAAATCATACACACACACACACACACACACACACACCCCTGGGGAATGGCCACACTGCAGTCCCTTCTCTTCCATTCTCCTCTTGGGATTATAAACTGGTAGGATAAACAGGCGTGAAAGTAGTCTGTCTTATACATCTTGTGACTTGCCTTTTCTTCTGGCTTTGCCTCACCTGGCCATGTGTCACCCATCCTAAAACCAAGTCAAACACCAGGCTCCTTCTGCCTCGCACCACCCCAGTATTACCCTGTGCTTCTGGTTTGCACCACCTTTACAGAGCCAAACATCTTGAAAGAGTGGTCTCCAATTTCTTATTTCCCTTTCATTCTTTAACCTATTCCATGCCTGTAAATTCTTTTTTTAAAAGAGATTTTTGCTATGGGGCATATGTGCTTGCGAGAGAGACAGAAAGTGAGAAAGCATACACACACACACACACACACACACACACCCCTGGGGAATGGCCACACTGCAGTCCCTTCTCTTCCATTCTCCTCTTGGGATTTTGGACACCCACACACATGCGCCTGGCATGAGTTTTAAGCCACTAGATCCAGTACTCAAACCATGGTCAACTACATGGGAGTCCAGCCATCTGGTGGTCACGCATGTCGGTAAATTCCGTGGACTCTTTCACTCATCATCTTATTGGTCCTCGCCAGCATTTAACTCATAAAGGACATCTTGAAGCAGTTTGTCCTTTTGGCTTCTTTGGTATCATACATTTCCAATGTTTTTCCTATCTCTGGCTTCTTACTGGCTATTTAAGCGTATTCTTCCTTCTCCTCTACTTAAACAATAAATGTTACTCTTATCTTCCATTTTTGTGTTGTTCCTCAGGGTTATCATTTGCTTCAAAATCATTTGAAGATATTTGTTAAATGCTTTTTCTTAAGTCATTCCCTAACATACTAAGTCAGATTCTCTGAGATTGGTGCCTTGTACTTACAGTAAGCCCCAGAAATGCCTCTTAAGCTCATGAAAATTGAAGGATCATTGCGGAGTCCTGGTGGCTTGAAAATTCGCGTGCATGTCCATTGTCCCAAGAGGAGAATGGAGAAGAAGGGATTTGGCCACCACTCACCCCCCCCCCCCCAGGGGTTGATTTCTTACTTTCCCTCTCTCTCTGCCTCTCACCAGTGAACACCTGTGCCCTATGGCCAAAAAAAAAAAAAAAAAAAAAAAAAAGTTATACAAAAAAAGAGTCATTGCTTTGCATTCTCTCTCCAGGTGACTGAGGCAGATGACCCACTAGTCGTCGTCTCCAGCTTACACTGGCTGAGTTCTGAGACCCGCAGAGTGCAGTCAGCCAGCCATTCGCATCTCTGCTTGGATGTGGTAGAGGGACCTCAGGCTCACCAGCCTTTCCTTCTCAGAGCCTTTTCTGGTCATCCCTTCTTTAGTGACAGGACCCACCCACCTAAAGCAAGCCGAGCAAGTCTTGCATTTTTGCTCACTCCTGTCTCTTCTGCCTCCTGCCTACTCCTCTGATCCCTTTATTCCATGCCATCGATTCTGCTGCTGCTCTGGGAGCCTCCTCCCTCTCGGTACGTTATGGCAGCCTCTTCCTGATCCTTCGTGCATATTCCTTAGTGCACTCCATTCCATTCCATTTTCCACACAGCACCCAGAGAGAAAAGTGCATCCGGTCTGCATGTGATGCTTCTCTGATTTTGAAATATTTTAAAGCCTTCTTATTGTTTCTAAACACTAGAGTTTTAATAGTTTCTAAGGCCCTGCATGATATATCCTTGCCTAACTGTCCCTAATTCTCAGAATTTACCATACTAGAGTTCATTTCAGTTTCTCGATGCCCCTGTTTTCTCTTAGCTCAGAGCCTTTGCTGTCAGTCTTGCTGAATAAAAAATTCTTTTCTATTCTTTTCTAACTCTGTTAGCTCCTGTTTATTTTCAGGTCTTACCTTAATTGACCTCCGGATTAACTTAGATCCATTTTTTTGTAAAATACTATGCACTAAAATTATCCATTCAGTGTCAGTCTTCTGCCTCAAGACTGGATATGTCTAAGATGTATGTAAGTTCAGGGACATCTTGGGGCCAGCAGGTGGTGTGGTGGTTAAGGTGCTCCCACATGGCCAACTACAGTTCGGGTCCTAGACCTGGCAGCTTGCTTTCTCACTTTCTCTCTTTCTCTTTCAGTCTCTCTGGTGAGAGTGCATGCCCTAAAGCAAATTTTAAAAAAATGTTAATAAATAAAAGTTTTAAAAATTCAGGGACATCTGGTTTAGTGTTCTTGATAAATATTTGTTAAGGTCATTTCTAAAAATATATGAATTTATATTGTATACAGGGTTTGCCTTGAGAGTTATGTTGTAAGTCTAAGTCAAGATTTTTACTGAGGGACCGATGTAGAACTATGTATTTACAACTCGGCGACCGCAGTCCTGGCAACATTATCACATGTTGTGGATGACTGCTATCTCCTTTACTCCTGATAACACACCTGATAGTTGTTATTCTCATTTTGTAGATGAGTATTAGACACAGAAAGAGGTTGAGTAACTTGCTTAGCATTATTAAACTGGTTAATAGAGTGACCACAGACACCGGGCTGCCTGGCTCAGGAGCTTGACCTTCTACTATACTGGGTTTCATCCACAGTTCATGTTCGATAATCTCAGACCAATGCGTTATCATGTAGCTCACTTTGAAATAGAGAGGACTGGGAACCAGCAGTTAGCATAATGGCTATGTCGCTGGACTCCCACGTAGTCAACCGCGGTTCATGTCCCGGACCTGGTGGCTTAAAACTCACGCCGGGCGTGTGTCCGTGTGTGTCCAAGATCCCGAGAGGAGAATGGAGGAGAAGGGATTGCGGCGTGACCATCCCCCCTGGGGGGTGATTTCTCGCTTTCTGTCTCTATGTCTCTGTCTGTCTGGCGAGCGCACACACCCTATAGCGAAAACCTCTCCAAAAAAAAAAAAAGAAATAGAGAGGACTAAGTGATGGATGAGGTTTTGGAAGATAATTAAATGATATAAATAGAAAATACATATGAATTAACCATAGTTGGATGATTTGAATTGTTAACTGTTCTCAAACTCAGAACTGGTCAGTTGAACATGGAAGCAGTATTTTGGGATTTTCATGAG